GGCACTAATGTCCCAAAAGTATGACGGAGGGTATCTGCATACCATTTACGATAGTTCGGGGTATATTATAAATGACTTTTATCATATCAGACATGTCCTCAGAACCAATTAGTCTTGAAATTTGATGTGACTTTTTTTTTCTTTCAGATGGTACATTGATAGTATTCCAATTAGGGTATTTAGAAACTACCAAGCCAAAGGCATTCCATTCCCAAACCAACAAGGAATGGGAGTCTACACTAGTCTATGGAATGCTGATAATTGGGCAACAAGAGGTGGTCTTGTTAAAATTGATTGGACAAATGCACCATTTATGGCAACTTATAGAAATTTTAGACCAAGAGCTTGTTATTGGAATGGACCAATGAGTATTTCCCAATGTGCAATTCCAACAAATTCCAATTGGTGGACTTCACCTTTATACTATAAATTGAGTGCAAATAAAGTTGGTGAAATGATCTCAATTAGGAGCAAGAATATGATTTATGATTATTGCAAAGATGTGAAAAGATTCAAGGGAGTTATGCCTATTGAGTGCTCATTGCCACAATACTAGAAGGCACAAACAAATCGGAGTGACTTCACTATACCTGAAGAAAAAAAAGAAGTTGTTTCGATCCTATCGAAGCAACAATGGAAGATATATTTCTAAATTGTTATCATTCTCCTTTTTGGGAATGAATTATTTTTAATGTTTCTTTGAAATTCAACATTTTGGTTATATTTATTGTATTTATCTTCTTTAATAATTTTGTTGTGTTGAGCAAGAAGATCTTGTTGAGTTGATATTATAATATATTTTATTCCTTAAAGTAAGAAAACACATTGTTTTTATTCGGAATTTTTACATAAGTATTACTTAGATAAAAAGATTATCTATCTGTATTCATTTATAAAATTTGCTTATTAAAAAATTTGCACAACATAGTTATACAATAAGAATAATTGAATCACACTATCGTATCAAATTATTTTCAATGTTTCTATGAACTTTAGCATTTTGCTTATGTTTCTCTTATATATATATATATATAAATTATACATATATTATACATCTTTAGGTTATTTTTAAGTTTATGCGGTTGAGTGGATATCTATTCAGGTTAATCCATCAAATTTGGCCCAAAATAGCTTCAGGCCTCTTTTTAATCCAAAATATGATCGTTGGGCTATTTTGTTATTTCAAAACTTGTACCAATTTTTTTGTTTCTATAAAAGTGAAACTTACCAAAATTTCATTTGTTTATGAGTTAATTACTTAGATACACTCTACTTTATAATATTATGAATTTTTTACCAGATTTTGGTGCATCCAGATACATGTATCTTGGGATACATTGTGTTAACAAATACATGTATCTTGGGATACATTGTGTTAAAGTTAGGTGTAATTTGTTCTAGATACATTGTATCCAAGTGATGTATCTGGGATACATAACACATTCGCCTCTTTCCCATCTCGCTCGCCACGCTCCTATACATGTGAATCACACTAGATACATATAGATACATGAGCGAGATAGGGAGGAAGGCAGTCGAGATGGTTATGTATCCCAGATACATATGAATCACACCATATACATATAAATACATGTACGTTGTGTGTATCTAGTGTGATTTACATGTATCTGGGATACATAACCATCTCGCTCACCTCTCTCACTATTTTAGTGTATCTGATAGCAAAAATACATGTATCTAGGTGTATCTTCCTCAATATATCATGATAGAAAACTATTAATTAGTGGTAAGATACATAATTATTTGAAAGTATAGATAGAATTAGTATATATGATATAGATATATATATCTTATAAGATAGTTTTTCCAAAATAAAACAAAAAAACTCATTTATTCAGGACCCACGACTAATTCATATCTATCATTTTCCCTCCATTTTTTCAATTTTGTTTGGTTGTAATAGGGATGGTCTTTGATTGACTGATAATGAACAACATTGACAAATGTTCTGCATATACAAGATTAGTAAATATGGTTGTTCGGTATGATTAAATATTCTTGATAGCTTTTAAAACTAATGAATATAAGTCATATTTTATGTCTTTTTTCTTAAAAAGAGTAGAATATATTTTAAAAAGTTATGTCCAATTTATTTTTTCAAGTTTTATATTTGTAATGATATCTTATACTCTCAAGCAAGCAAGACGAATTCATAAATATAAAGTAGAGGTAGACAATCGAAGTATTTAGGAATACGACACACCTTAGGAAGTTAGGATCAATATTCTCATAGGCTTAACTATTTATATAGTTCTATCAATTCAAAGAATGACATTATAATTAAGGCCTGCACGTCTTAATTAATTAATTAGACCTAATATAATTATGAAGTCCTTGTAGAGTTGATCACTTCTCATATTTTAGCCTCATGCACGTTATTCAAAACTCAAAATTCCAGCTATCTATACATTTTCAAAATAATGTGATAGCTAGGGAAGAACTTAACAGGCTAGTTAGCTAATATGAGTATTTAGTACTTTTCCGTTTCAAATTATTCGTTATCGTGATTTTTAGAAATAAGTATCTCAAATTATTTGCTATTTTAAAAGTTCAAGACAAAATTAATGAAACAGAACAAATAATTTGAGACAGAAGGAGTATGTCAAAACACAACAAGATCCTCAAAGCTCATATATAGACAAAGGTGGAATCATAACTAAATTTTAAAGTGACGTCTTCAAGTGGGAAAATTGGGTTCTAAATTTCATATTTGTACATATTTTAAAATTTGTTAAATACAAATATATTATTTAAGCAAAAGCTATTGAATTCAATTGAACTGTATCCAAACTTCTAGCTCCGCCCCTATGTACAAATTCCAATTTCACGACCTATGTGACATGTATTGTCCGTTGTGATCTAATAAACTCTTATGAATTTATCATTCGAGTGACATCGTCATCGAACAAAAAATGTGCGTACCAATTACCATTTAAAATTTTAATATGCTTTATAATGAAAGTTCATTTTTCTCCTACATCTCAATATATGAAATTCATCGTAAGGTGTAAAATGCACCTTTTTTCAAAAGCTTGTCATTATTTTTTTTAGGGCAAATCACATAAATCCCACTAGTTTAGGTCTTAATTATTAAGATTCCCAATAGTTTCAAATATTACTTCCTCTACCATATTTTATGATTAGGATACATGAGTCTGAATCCATGAGATACATGTATCTGTCGAATTTTAAAATTGAGATACAAAATTTATTTATTTAAATTAATTGGTTGTAACTTATTTCCTTAATTAGAGGAGTAATTGAGGATTTTCAAAATACATAGATAATTAATTTCATTTTATTATTCTTTGAAATAGTAAATTCATTAATATTATTAATATAAGATAAAAACATGTATATCTTGGTAATGTAATTTGATTAATTTCAAATTATTACTCTTAAAATAATAAATTCATTAATTTGATGTATCTATTATCAATATATGATGTATCCAACAAACTAAACATTTAGATACATAAGTGCCATACAAGTACATTCATATGTATCATAGAAGTATCTAGCATTAATTTCATGTATTTGTTATAGGTATCTAGTATTAATTTTATGTATCT